GTTTGCATGGTAGAGAGTATTTTTTACTAGAGCGTGTATCTTTTAACAAAAATATGAATTCTGACAATTATGAAATTAAGCTTTTTTAGTCAAAAACTAATCAAAGAAGTCTTGAAAGCCCTGGAGTTGCTGAAACATTTTCTATTTCACCTATCTTTGATATTGTTGAATCATATGATAAATATTTAGCCAAATGTCCTTCTGATACTGATCCTCAATTCTATCTACATCCTATAAAGGAATTTATAGTAAGCAAATAATCATGTTTAATTACCAGTATCTACCAATTTTTTTATTTAAAAAAGTTAATTTTTATTTAGATTTTAAAACCATCGATATTTGGTATGAAAAAATGCATCTTGGAGAGAATTTTATGAAATCATTTTTTAAGCGATTAGTAGAGTCATGTGATATTGATATTTCTGGTTGTAAAATATCAAACCAAACTGGGTGTAAAACTTTGATCCAACTTTTAAAATCTCTTGGTTTATCTGATTATGAAACAATATCAATTTCATGTCACAAATCACAAAAAGGGTTAGTATCTTATAAACATCTAATTAAATATGTGCAAGAACTTGGATATCAGGCTTTGAACAAGACAATTAGTTATTGTAATGAAGAAGTAAATGGTAATTTTTTTTAAATTAATTAATTAATTATTTATCGATATCAATATTTATTTATTTATTTATTTATTTTAGAGTCACTTGTAGCTACAAATATAAATGAATTACCAGGTTTTATATCAGCAAGGTCATTATATCAAGGTTAGAATTTATTAATTAATATATTTTGTTAAATAAGTTTTTTGTTGTAGTAACTTTTTTTATTGTTTAGAATTATCTACACCTCTTAACAAACTAATACAAGTTTATCACAAAGACAAATGCCTTAATATGGTTTGGCTAAAGTCTTAGGGTCATTCACGGCAATTGCTAATCCTGAAAGAGTGTTAGGGTAGGGCGGGTTACAAAAGAGGAAGCCAGAGGGTTTATATGGGTAACCTCCTAGTTGGGTTATAGGTAC